AACACTTTGAAAAAACAAAGATTTTACAAAGACTCTACATAATAATACCTATTTTATCTTAGAAGCGTACAAAGTACTGAATAGACTTCACAACATAATACTTACTTCATAAGGAAGACCAAACAAAGTAATGTCCATTTTGTAATGAAAACTGTAAAAATTCGTATACAAAGTAGTACATACAAAAAATAAACAAGTATCAACAATTTAAAAACAAGCCACTACATAACTTAGCAAAAAACCGAAAAGAATCAATTTTACCATATAACAGTGAACTGAAAAACATCAAAGTCATAAGCAATCAAAATTGAAATAAAATACGAGGCAATGACGAATAATTTTTAAAAAATTCCAACAGGCTTCTTGAAAGCTCGCCGCACTCGCAAATTCAGTCTCGTAGTACTCCACCATAGAGATCATGACCACCGGCAGCGATCAGCTAAACAATCTGATTATCACTTCAGAATAGAAAGTTCCACTTGTCAACTTACAAAAAAAAGTGTTGGTAAAGCGCAAGAGAAAAGCTTTACTGCAAATTCTAAAAATACTCTTTCTAAGTCCCAAATAAACAGTCAAAGTTGCACTCGATTCTTAGATTTTATACCTTTTTGCCAAGTTTTTCTCTTTGGCTGACCCGGCCCTTCGACAAAACCTTACACAGTTCTTGCTAAATTCCTGTCCCGTAACAGGAATTATTAGAATTTTAACCCGTGCTAATATCGTATCACAAATTGAGTATTAGGTCAGTGCCGAATTTTAGTCTGCTCCAGCCAACTTTTGATATTCTTTAAACGAAGTTTCAAGCTCTTTCTGCTTCCCTCATTTTTCCCACGCAGCCCCAAGCGGAGTTGAGTTTGATATCCCCAAGTACGTAAAAGAGGGAATTCCCTCTTTGATACTGAGAGTCAATCGAAAAACTTTCATTATCAGAAGGAAAGGGACGAGGGGAGAGGCGGGGAGGGGGAGGGGGAGATCCTCTTTCTGTACAATTTTAGCAAGTGGAATTGCAGCTTATGCGCATTAGCTATATGCAGCCACAAGTGCTTATCCTATTCTCAGGCCAAAAACTGAACTGGCTAACAAAATTACTGTATTGTAAGGCCGAAAGGTGAAACATCATAAAATATCCATCTATTCTAAGACGGCTATCAACTCATTTGTAAGCAACCTTCAAAAGAGGGCAACATCGTTAGCGTTACAAGCAGGTGCTGCTAGTAACTGCTGTCGGAATATTTTCGAATGTCTCCGGCTTTCCCACAGGCTAAATACGGCGGGACTTTTGATTCCTATTTGGGATGATTAGTTCTCCTCCCCGCCCTTCCTATCTAACTATGCCGAGCGGCAACGATAGTTTTTGCAGAGGCATGAGAATTAAAGCCAAAATTTTGTATTACAAAATATCATTTGCCATTTTTTCTATTAACAAAAAAAAACAGACTGGAAAACGCATACTAGCATGAGCACTGATCATCACCGCGTGCAGCTTCGCTTTTTCCTGCCGGCGCTCTATTTCCCCGGCGACTTTCGACCCACTCCCTTGTGTGTTATTCGATTCCAACATTAAACGATTGACGAGCCATAACTGCAAAAGTAGAAAATACTTGATAATTTAAGCCTTACAGCAAAAAAACAGTGATTAGCTGCATGCACCAGCTGGTGAGAAGTATTCCAATGAAGGCAGCTGAATCTCAAATACTTGCTAAGAAATCTTAGCAAAACGGAGCCATCACGGTCACACTGGAATGAAATTTTCTCTTGTCTACTACAAATCTTTCAAGTGGCAGGCATCTACAAAGAAACAACACATGCCGGTTCTGTTTCTAATGGAAGAGAATTATACAGGCATTGTGAGAAAAGCTCGCCGTTAAAGATTGCGAATTTTTTTCCTCATGCATCAAACTAATAAACATATTCACATTAACTAGTAAACACTAATAAACTTATTCATTTCTTTAACTTATTCACATTTTCTTTTTTATTTCCTTACATCTTACATAAACACATACCAACACATACCAACTAAATTAAAATTAAAATAATAAAATCTGGGCACATGTGAGATTTCAGTAGTTGGAGTCAACCCAAATCAACACATAGATTCCCTAAAGTACGGTAGATAGAAAAGCTTTTTTCGCAGTTA